GGAAGGAAGGAAGGAAGGAAGGAAGGAAGGAAGGAAGGAAGGAAGGAAAAAAAAAGAAAATGAACAAACAAGCAATCTTCTATTCCCTGTGACATAGTTATAAAGGCTCATTAAGCCTGAAGAAGTCCCTGGGCACTCCTACCCTGAAACATTGAAAGCACAGGCCAGTTTCCAACCCTTACTAACTTCCAGAATGAGGCCACTGATACACTGCCCAACTGCCCACTGGACCCTAAAAAAGGTGTCCTACCATGGAAATAGTCATACATTCTTAAGAGCTGGGCTGGCATTAGCATGAACAGGCAATAGTGGTCAATAATGTCACATAGTAAAAGAAGGCAGGAAGGATGAGGAATGGGGAAAAGGCACTAGATCTCATAAGGGCAAATCTGAAGAAAGCTTCTGGGTGAAATAAATGGTGTCTTGAGATCCTTTGTATTCCCCAAAACCTAGCACGATGCATAGTACATAGCAAAGGCACAACAAGTTGAATAAATGAAGCCTATTTGGGACAGAAATCAGGTGACAACAAATATATACTAGTGAGAAGTATGAGTAGCAGAGCCAGGACTACAATGGGGCAAGCCAGGCACTTAGGGTGCAAAATTTGAAAATGCAAAGTTCTATGAGTACCAGTCCCACACTTGCAGGACCCAGGAGTGAGAGCTTCCTAGAACTTTTGTGCCTTATGCATCTCACTTGTCTTAGCCTAGCCTTAGTACTTACGAGTATCAGAGCAAATGGAATGTATGAAGCCGAGTAGCGAAGGAAACTCAAAGATACAAAGTCCAAAGACAGGTTTAAAGGGAGAAAAAGATGAGCCAATGGAAAGCAAAAGATGGGAAAAACAAGCAAAAGATGACTATTGATTAAGAAAAAAAAAAAGGACAAAATTAAATCTCAATGAGATTAGAAAAATAAACCATTTACATTACAAATCAATAAGAAGTACAAGGATTAATCAACAAGTAGTATTAAGACACTATTTAACACCATTTTTAAAAAATAACCAACAAATCCCTACTTCATAAAATATTTCAAAATAAATTTCAGTTTGAATGAAATTTAAATGTTCAAAAATGAGAGAGAGAGACAGGGAGACACACCCAGAGAGGAAAGACAGAGAGAAAGGGAGGGGGCAGGGGAAAGGACATCCAGAGCTACTGAATGAGGAGTTTGACAAATATTAACCCCCTAAAGCAACAATAAAACTAACAACATTGTTAAAACTATTTAAAGTCTTGATATTGATCAAAAACATTACAACAAATTTGAGAAGTGCTGGTCCAAGAAAATCTACTGAATCTTGGTAAGAACAGTGAAGAGTGTGGTGTTTTAGCCTGGGGCTCCTATCATCCCACACTCGCTCCCAATTCCTTGGTACAGAAGCTACCAGGGTAGGACAAGCTGTGATGACAGGAGGCTCCGCTGCCAGAGGGAGCTAA